ATTCGAGAAGCATATTCCCTGTCTCTTTCTCTCTCTTCTTCCTCCGATTAAAGGAACCACGCCGCGAAATACCCGTTGTATGTATGTACGACCGCCTCGGTGCTGCAAAAGAGACTCGAAAGTATGCGTGTATCTTGTACAACCTGCGCGCAGGTAAATACTTGCTCCGGTATACCTGCGGCGCGACACAAATGGGTTTGAGATTGTTCGGGCAGAACTATTTAAAACATTTCTAGAGAGAACTATGCAAGATACGCTCGGAAAACATGTGAAGTTTCAAGAACATGCGAGTCAGCGCAAAATCAACCTTCGTGTTTTTTTTTTTTAATTTTTTTTATTTTACAGAACTGCAATTAAGAGAATTCTAATTATTATACATTTTTAACTCTTTAATTAATAAATCGTACAAAACCAAACACAAAATACGATTTATTTTTGAAATAATAATACAAATCGTTGAGAAAAAAGACATGGAATATCTTTTAATCTATAATCTTCGATCTTCATGGAATATCTTTTAATCTATAATCTTGTATTCGGTCCAAGAAATTTTTGATTGTCGAAAATCGAATCTCGCGGAGTCTCATATAATCGGATTATGTCATCTCGTGTTACTCTCAATCCACTCGCGTTTATCACGTCCAACTTACTAGCGACGATAATTCGATACTTCCTCGATATAAATCTGTTCGATTTACGTGTACGTGCATGCGTGTGCCGCCGAGGTGCATCAGACCGAGACGTAGTAGCCGGCGACATAACGTGTCATCGAAATAACGTACAAGCGAACTAGGAAGATAGCGTGACTACATTTCATACCGAGCAAAAACACGTTCGTTTGATTACAAACTATGACAAATTTGCATGAGTAGTCAGCGTTCGCGAGTAAGTTGTTATACATTGCAGATCGTTACGTGTCAATTAATTTTTGATATTGGATTAAGTACTGTAGATTTATTTTTATTTTCTTTTTTTAATTTCAACCCTTAAAGGCTATCGTGAGTGAAATTTTATCCCATGCAAACTTCGTTTTAATGTTATTAAAAAATTTTAGGATATTTATTCACACGATTAGAAGTTTTGACAACTTCTCTTTTATTCTTAAAATAAAAAAATATATACTGGATTGAAATTTCACCCGTGATAGCATTAACGTAATTTTTATACGATAGCGTTTAAGGATAAATGTATATTTTTTAGCCACACAAAAGAATACAAGAAATTAGGAAATTTATTTTTTTGTTTTTCAGAGACAACCTAGACAGTACACAAGTACAACATTTCTCGACGCTCGGTTAATCGACCGTGTAAAAAATCCGATGTCTCGAACAATTCGTAATAATACTGTTTTTCTTTCTCGCGTGAAAATATCCCCCCAGCTGCGATCCATTAGCCGGATTTGCTTCACACGTCCGTCGAGTCAATCGAACCGTCTACTAATGTTTCATCGTCAAGGTTTATTTTATATTCGCGCAACTTCCTAATGCGCTAATGTGAATTATGTATGTTACAGCGCGACGTCGATTCAGGCGAAGCGTGTTGTTGTTGTGTAGTTGGCGAGTGGGTATTTAAATATGACGAAAGAATTTCTATCTGTCGGACACTCCCTCGGGACATTTTTTTCGGTCGCGCTGTTTTTCCACAAGAAACGTAGAGATTGATACGAGCGATTGATTTAATAACATATTTCACGCGCGTATTTGCCGCTCAACCGTTTTTCACGTGAAATCGATGATAACACGTTTAAACCGCGGCGACTTATCTACCGCGGCATTTAATTGATTCGTTTATCTAATTATTCTAAGCGTACCTCTTGAGTGAGTAATATTATATATATTTTACCAGGCGCCAGTCGCTCTTAATTGGACATTGCGCGCACCGGTTTTCTCCGCGAGGTGTCTTATCGTGATCTTGTTATCAGAATTTTTCCAAATTCGCAATTTCGCTTGAGCGAAAAAAAACAATTCTGTAATAATTAATTATGTCTTTATGAGAGCAAGCAAAACGAAACTTTATACTGCAAAATATAAGTGACTTTAAAAAACAAAGCGCGCATGTTAAAATAAATTTACGTGTTTCAAGTCGTAGTTGTAAACATTTGTTTAATTTACTGACGACGCACCGTCACTGTCGGAAAAGAACAACCACCCCGGCACAAAACAAGCACTTCCGCGCCCGAATAAATTATCAAATCGCGCGAGAACAATAACGTCTCGCACGGTACCGCCCGCACGCGTACCACCCGCGCTGCGCGATCCCGCTCCTGGGAGTATAGTTTTATCTCCAGCTAATCTAGCGGTGCCAAGACGAAAACCGGTGTATAAAAGGGGAAGCAGATCTGCCTTGATCTCGAACTATCAGAGGAAGCTTTTCCTCGGCCGAGAGTCTCGGCAACGGCTAGTAATCTCGATCCGCTCTGTCTCGAAGAAGCTGCAACTTCTTTGCCATTTGTCTCGGCATACTGAACCATCCTCTCGCCCGCTCCGAACCGGGGAAGCGATCGTTTCTCTGCTGAGCGTCACGGCGACCAGAGCACTTTCCTTTCCCTCCGCTCTAGATTTTCGTTCCGGGAGGTGGCCCTACCGCCGATGCCACCCCGCGTCATAAAAGAATGAGTAAAATTTCTTTTATCTTATTCAATAATCGTTCGCGCAGTTTTCAGTAGTGACACATGCTCAGAAATATTCAACAAAAAAGGTGAAAAAAGAAAATAGCGAAGAAAAAACTTGTGCGGAGGCGATTATTAGGCAGTTATTAGTCGACTCGTGTCGCTGTGTGTTGTTAACGTTCGATTCATAGCCGACCCACGCGAACGGAGGAACCCACGTCGTCGGTCGAAGGTGAAGCAGCGGGATGTGGAACAAAAGCGATTCTCTTGGAAGAGAATTGGACGGCACCTTTCCACTCCCACGCGCAGCAGACTACAAAATGCGCCCACCGCGAGATCGCAACATAAAAAATTTGTAAATACTCTTTTCACTCAGCACATGCACTCCCGATCGGTATGCCGATTTCTGTGTAAGTAGTCGACTTGAAAATCTACGTGACTCTTGTGTGTGTTATTTCAACAAGATGCGTTTTACAAGATTGGCGCAACACAGGCGCGCTACGCGCACGCTTATTATTATTTTTATTTTAACGTGTTGTGTCAGTGAACACAACCTGTCACCGCAATGACAGCTAGTACATACGTCTTATAAACCATACAATACACATATAAGAGAAATAACGCATGAATATCACACATTTATATATTATATATAATATATATATTCTTTTCCCTGTCACGTGACTAAAGTAAAGTCACGTGTTTTTTCACTTCTCCCTTTCAATATTTCTTGAGTGTGATATTCATGCGTTATTTCTCTTATATGTGTATTGTATGGTTTATAAGACGTATATATATATATTACGGTATATATACGGTAGTATACGGTAAGCACGTGACCGAGGTCAGTGACCTCGCCGTAGTCATTGACTTTTCGTTAAAGGTCGTTGACCTCTCGTTAAAGGTCGTTGACCTTTCGTTAAAGGTCATTGACCTCTCGTTAAAGTCACGATTTTAAAGACGCGTGACTAAAGTAAAGTCACGTGACTGTAGTTACGTGATGTTTTTTCTCTCCTTCCTGTCGCGTAATCTTACGTAAAATAAAATCGAGTGCGGATTAGTCTTCAAGTTTTCATTTCAAACCGCAAGTATAATTATTTTTGCTGCAAAACCACCGTAGATAAGATACCAGTACATTTTCTAGCGATAAGAGTCTCCAATAAGAGTCTTTGATAGAAATCGAGTTCCGAGTTTACATAGAGGTTTGCTCGTCAACGACCCTGAAGAACGCGCCCGGATTCGAGGTATGTACTTCGAGCTTTAACGACTTCGGAAACCGGCCGTCCTGTAAATTTTCTTGTCGATGCGCGCTTCTGTCTTTCTCTCTCTCTCTCTCTTTCTTCTCGTTGTACCCCATTTACGGAACTCGAAGATGGCGCGTGCAATGCCAATTTATTAGTGGTGGCCTTAGCCTCGATCGGGTCCATAAAGGATCCCGGAGCTACTCACTTCGTGAGAATCTCTTCGCAACGACTTTCGTCTTTGTTCGAAAATTTCAACGCTCGCTCGAAGAATCGCTCTTGCGCAAACTTTCTTTTGTTACATCCCGTGAAGTGTCACGCGACATGTTTCATTAGCAACTAGGAATTCGATTTATTAACAAACGCAGCACAGCAATCGCGCGCAACGCCGATTGACCGTTATATTTTTCAACGATAACAACGGAGAACATTGATAGCTGTTTTCAAAAAAAAAAAAAAAATCCGATAAATCATTGGTTGGAACTGCGGGAACTTTCACGTCCCCGTTCTCTGCCATTAACGCGCGCGAGCGAGCGATCGCAATATCGCTAATTGCTTTTATTGACGCACAATCGCTCGTTGTTCGCGTTTTATTATCGCAGATCGCTCGCGAAACGATGCGGTCATTTGTTGCTGATATAATATACGCGTGCGACTGTGTATAAACGCGTTGATAAACGCGTGCATTACGAGCGGAGGTGTCGCTCCTGCATCGAGATCCTTTCACGGATAAAGAACCGCGGAAGATCTGTTTGCGATACCGGCTCCCTAGTTTCTTCTTCTCCGCGTTTCTTCCCGCACCTCGGCGAGTGCCTCTCTCTCTCTCTCTCTCTCGCGCGCGCCCGATGATATCTCTGCGATATTCTCTTCGTGTTTCCGAGACACACAGTCTGCGGTGTAGCCGCAGAGCACAAAGTGCAAGAAACGAGAGGAAAAAGATTTTACGAGTTTTTCGGAGATCGACTACAAAGGATAGGCGCTCTTTAATAAAGTATGGATTCTTGACAGAAATTGCGAAGGGACTATAGTCACGAGAAAGATTTTTTTTTTTTTTTTTTTTCAATTGCTCCTTCATCAGCGCTGTTTCATCTCGTCGATTTTGTCATTAATCATTCGCGCTTCTATTTTATTGACAAAAACAAAGCACTTACCTGTTTGAGATCCAGAAGAATCGTCACGTACTCGTAGACATCGCCTTTTGCCAACGTCGGACTCTGCCACCATCGTCCGGAATTCGGGTCGAGAACATTGCTGATATCGTGCCTCTTGCCCGGATCCGAGCTCTTGGAGTCGCAGACCGCGCACTTCGACGACTCCGAGGGTTTGCAAAACGTCTCGGGACCTTTCTCGCCGCACGTCGCGTTCACGTAAATGTCCGCTTTCGCGGCGACGTTGAACGTGGACGGAAAGAGAGCGCTGCTCTTCAAGGTTCTGCTCAAATTGTATTGTTCTGAAAATGTATTATCTGAAATCGAAAAAACGGAAAACGTATTCGTCAGATCGAGATAAGGACGAGAATAGAGAAAACGCCGCGTGGTATTTATTTCTTCGAAGTTTTAAACAATAGTCGAACTCTTTAACGATAATCGATTTATAAAGAGATCGTGTCCTTTTTCTCGATCGGCTACTATTCGAGTGTTGCTTTTGCGGAGAGAAGACGCTTTCGGTTTCGTGTTGAAACCTATCTCTCTTACACTCTCGGAAGTCGTATCAATTGTCGACACCGAGGCGCGTCTGCCGCGGCTCTTAATTGGCGCGGACAAAATTAGTTCAAACGTATCCAATCCTCTTTCGGATCGTTCGTTGCTCAATCGAACTGCCAGCGTTCCCGTTCCCGGGAGGACAAATTGAACTCGTCACGATTTTTTTTTCTTACACACAAACATTAACTTCGGTTGCTTAATTCGCACCGAATAAAATTACAAATCATTTAATGAAGCAAATTATGCGCAAAACCAAAATTGTAAGAAAAAAAAGTTTCATCGTTCAAACGAACATCAGCTATAAACGAACTTTCAAAATCTTGTCAAGCACAAAATCTTGAACGAAATATCAAAAGCTTGTCATTAAATAACGCATCGTAAAATCTCAAATCTCGTTGGTTTTAATAAATGAATAAACTGCAAGTGATTTTAGATTCATGCATGCGAAGTGGAAGTATACGAAATCGCGATCGTTGCCGCTACACAACAACATGATCGCGCCCACGCGGATGATAAACGGATGGACGTTCGCGATGATATAGGTGAGCGCTATAACGCGCAGCGTGTATCTAGAGAAGTCCGCGAACTCGCGAAAGATTCTATTTTGAAATTCTCATTCGGCGAATCATTCATCCGTTTTGTAGACGATTAATGTTCGATGTTTGAAAAACATTCAAAAGTTAAGTTGCACAATTATTACTTAGTCAATTGCTGTTGTTTTGTTAACATCGGTATTTTGTACAAAAATACCGATAATATCTTCATTACGTACCCGATTGCAAACTGCGGATTTTAAATCGGCGATAACACTGGCTGTAAAAAAAAGATCAAAAGGTCAAATCGATCAAACTTCAATCGATTAAACGCGAAAATCTTTACGTTTCTCTCGCAAATCTTCGGTTCGCGCGCGCGCGTTATATATTGTATATATATAGCTCGCATTCTGTTTCGCGCCGTTTGTTGCGCGCGTGCAGTTGGCGCGAGATACGCGCGACCGTGTCTCTTGATAGTATCGAATCCAGCTGTGGAATATATAACGCAGTCCTCATATCTCTTGGTAGCACGGAATGATACATATAACGCCTGCCACCCCTTGTCAAACTCGCGACTCGCTTTAATCCTTCTTTACGATAGCGGGCGTGACATCTCACTTTTTTTCTCCGATCCACAACCGCACGTGGTCGCTTAATGGATTTCATCTTCGGAATCAAGAACTCGGAGAGAGAAGGGGAAAGGTGATCATTTCGAAGATTGGTCTCAATTTTACCGGATTCCGATGACGTGTCTCTCAATCTCATCGTTTTACAAGCGAGCGTGATCTTTGTTTATGAAGATCGAAAGAGAGTCATAAAATTCTCATGTAACTGTCGCTTTTATCGTCAAAGAAATTTTTACCAGAAAAACGTGACAGATACACTTATCGCGTTATTTTGTCGTTTTTTAGATACCGATTAGTTTTTTAACATTAGTTCTTTAACATTAATTCAGAAATCGTCTCCGAATATCTTGAAAAAACAGGAATAGTAATAGGCGTGATTCATAACGGGTAGGTCTTGACAGCTTCGTCCGGTGACTGCCTCCGATTGCAATGTCCGCATTAAGCAAGCAAAATCCGGGTCCGTAAAGAGGGACTATTTATAGATTCGCGACGAGTACGGCGCCTTATTTACTTCCTACGCCATCTTATCCGGTAGCATCTGTCAAGAATACATTTCCAGATGAAATTATGGCTGCCCATGTTGAAAAATACCATCAGAAAGATTATACAGATATATCAATTGTAAAGATAATTCAATATCTATGTTAATAATGTGCTATGATATGACAACTTATGTGATATTTATTTATCTTGCTATTTTATCTCGTGAGATTATTATATCTTGGTTTTTGTTTTGTTATCCGGAATGTGAAATAAATGCGGCATATACGTGAGGTCGGCGACGGGTCTGAGGTCGTAATGTTCGTATCAGACCGAGAAAGATCTAATAAGGAAAACAAAGAACAGAAAATTCGTCACAACACTGTAAAGAGATTCTGAGCGCGTTGTGCGTCTGCGCTTGTTTAAAAAGAGCAAATTCAAAATATACAGAAAACCTTCGAAAAAAGCATTTTTTCGACCTGTTTGATCCCAATCGAATTGTTTTTCACAAAACGTAAAAATATTTGATATTATAAAATCCGAGCACGACACTCGATAATATAATCGAAATCTCGATCACAATCTCACAAGCTCGCGAGGCGAAGAATTAACGATTCCGAACGTGTTAGCGGGTGATTTGAAAACGGGTTTTGGCGCGCTCGCGTCGCGTGTTTTCTTGACGTTTTACGGTGCTTTGAGACCGCCCCGTGCAATTTCGTCGTTAATAACGCCAATAACCGTCGCGCAGTGGTAACGATGAGGTGAGAGATAGTTATCTGCTCGTATTCTTCAGAAAACAGGCGACCGGCGCGGCGCGCGCTTTGACGGAATACAAATCGTTCCGAGAGACACGCGGCGAATGGCGCGCGTTCCGACGACAACGACGTCGATGCGTTGATAGCGATCGACAAGGTGCGGGTAACCGGAGGAGTAATCGCTCAAGGATCGCCGTAAAAGGATACTTGCGCGTAATTGACGCGAATCGCTCAGAAATTTAATATCGACGATCCGATAAGCGCGGCTCGCGACAAAGGATTTTTTTCGAGTTGCCAACTTTACACCGACCGAAAATGCAAATTTACAAATTTTTATTATTAATAATAAAGAGATACATATCGGTGATTTTGAATAAGATACAAAACTTTATTTTACTTTTTTTTTACATTGAAATAAAAGTTTTTTTTTCTTAAAAATTATTAGAAATATTTTAGTTGTATTTTTGTTTAATAATTTGTGTGACAAATCTTGGCAGTAGTGTATCAATGTGATACAATGTGACCTTTGTATTTTCGGATAGAAATTGATATTTTTTATTTTTTTTTTTTCGATAAATTTCTCAACGCTTTCGATATCAAAACGAGCATTGTTCGGGAACGCGAGACTCTCGCTGAAAGTTTACGTGCGAGAACGCGTAAAATCGATAACCCGATGCCAAATTGGATGTTACGACGGTAATAACCGTCGAATTACACGAAATGACCAGCAATAGCGGGTCGGTGCTCTTTCTTCCTCCCGACCTTTTCGCTATACGAAATTTCTCGCATCTGTAATACGGGCCGGATTCGCCGCGCGTTAATAGACGTATTATTTCGCACACCTCGAGCGTTTCGTACGTATAAATGTTTAACTTCCGTGTGGCGCGGCTGTACGTAATCAGTTCTCCACGTATATTAAGCCGACGCAGCCACTTCAGTCACGACCGAATCAAACCTACACAGACATTCGGTGCTCTATCTCGTGTTGCTAATTTGTTAATTTCAGATTTTCTACACACGATTGTACATTATACAAAAAAAAAACTGATGACTGTACCAATTAGTGTCAACACAGTAATATGAAAAAAAAAAAAAAAAACGACAAAAAGCAGCCTTTAATATATTTTAATATTTTTTACATTTGGTATTTAATATTTTAGTATTTTTTTACTTCAATATTTTACACGAGCGGAAAGATTTTGTATGTAACATCTTTAATCTCTCGATGTACCTTATATGGAAGAAAAAAAAATGCAACATTTCTGCACCGAGTGTATTAGTGTCTCGTTAATATTTCCGCGATAAAAAAACAAAAAAAAACCACGAGTTACGAAACACGAGCGGACGTGAAGTCGAGCGCGGGGCGTCAAGGCGAAAAGCAGATTCTCGCGTGACTCGCGCGAACGATCCTCGAACGAGAAGTCTGACGGTAGGATAAAAATGTCCATTCGGTGTTCGTTTCGATCTCTCGTCTCGGTCGTTCAACCTGCACCTCTGTGTGTTTCGCCTCTTCGCCGCGGCCTCGCTCGCCCACTCGTCCGAAAATTGCACCTTTCAGATCAAGAGAGCGGCGCCTACTCGTTCGCTTTTATCGCTCTGTTTTTTCCGTCGCCTCGGGGCGCCACCGAGAGAACACCGCCGAAAAACCACCGGAAGATAACCGTAATAAGAGCTACGCAATATCTTGCGGACTAACGTCAGTAAAAAAAAAAAAAAAAAAAAAAAAAAAAAGAAAGAAAAAGAAAAAGAAAAAAAATAAATTGTGCGCAGCTCGAATATATTTTATCGTAAATTGATTTCCCTCGGAGATATTTCCACAGAAATGACTTCAACATCGGTGAGAAATAGAAACTTAGGTTATTTTTAATTTACGAACGTGTAAAAACACAAGAGCGCTTTTTTTCTGAGATAAATAGGCGATATATTTTGTGAAAATATACAAGTTAAAAGAATTTGTATCGCGTGTGACTTGAGAAACTTATTAAGAAAGTAGGATTTGTGTTTATCGAGTTTTAAAACTCTCGAGAAGTAATCCGAGCCATAAAAACGGGTCGGATGTGTAACCGAAACCATTGGCGGCACTAATTTGTTTTTTCCTTTTTTTTTTTTTCTCATACTCTCGCGTCTCGAGGAATCTCAGAAGGATCTCACGAACGCATTCTTACGCGCACTTACTCGGCGATATTGCTCTAGTACTCTCTGATTAACACCATCACGTGCACTCGGTTTGATTCCGCTCGGTCGCTCGCGCACACCAAGTGGCTTTTTGCCGATTTGCCAGAAGCAAACATAAGCCGACATACTTGCGCGAAAGCCTGGCTTGCATTAAAGCGATATAACAGCTACCACTCTAAAGGCTAAGGCCAAG